GCAATCTTATAACAGATATATAAAACAATAATGTTAATATCATCATATAATTATTTTCTAATCTTGAAAGAAAGTAAAAGATTCTAGGAGGTATTTATTCCACTGCTAACTAGGTGATAAGCCATATTTGGAAGGATAGAAAGTAAAAACAAGAAAACAAAAATGAGAACAAGAAAGGCAACACCTAAAAAGGCCTCCCTTTTTTTCTCATCAAAGCTTCTGCAGGGGTCATGAAGTCCACATTTTGTGACAGGTTGTCATGACAAATAATGCGTAGATCTCTCTTCCAAATTTTTAACAATAGATTTATTAGAATATGGAAAGTCAGATTTAGAAGAATTGGGACCAAAGCCTGTTCAACTTACTTAGTTTGGTGGTTAATAAAATAGTTTTTCCATAGATGCAGTTTACTCAGTAATCTGCATATTTGTCTGTTCTTTCTATAATGAAAGGTCAACATCACCGTATAAGGTGAAAGTGGGGAAAGGAGAACTCTCAAACGTTTCTGTTTGTTGCTAACTTGTCCCAGGGTCTTCCTGAAGAAGACACTAATTAAGGTAAAATAAAAATTTTGGTCTATCACCTTAGACTACTTAAAAACAAATGCCACATATTTTTATACCATTATAGCAGCAGTTCAATGTCTTCGTTATTATCCTGAAGTAATGTTTTAAATTTTGTATGACTCATTTAACACGTGCCTTTTGAAAAATAATCTCATTTGTCTTATTTGACTTATGGTAACAACATAAGATTCTTACGTTGATTGCTCTCCGTATCCATACTCCTGCATGCCTTTTCCCCCACCTTTTTAAGGGTCACACAGTAGGTAAGAGATTCAAACTAATCACAGACTACACCTCTTTGGCATCCCAAACAATGTAATAACACCATTTCTTACTTCAGGTGTGAGACATAAGTAAACATTTATGGTATATCATGTTTTATGGTCCAGGCTTCCTCATCTCCACTGGCCAGTTTTGCCAGGGAAGGAGAACTGGGAGAATTGAATGGGAAGGATAACTCCTTTAGTTAAAACACTTACATTGAAAACACATATGTCTTCCATGTTGGTAATATGTATCCGTCATTCTTCTAACTCTGAACATATTAGTGTTAAATAAATGTCACATTTAAATTTTATTTATTCTTTGGGTTGGCAGATTCTTGCCCCATATGTTTTTTTTTTTTAATTTATTTTTCACTATTACATTAGGAGGAGATATTCTAAATATGCAAAACTGACATATTCTCCTTTGTATATTCAAAAATAAAAATCACATTTTTAATGTGAGAAGAAGTAAAGGTTTAACAAAGTGTTAACTTGTCATCCATTTAATTTCTCTCCGAATCTCCTGGTTAAATTTATTCCTAAAATACTAAGCAATCCCCCAAAGCATGTAAGTAGATATCTGCTCTTATCAGGTTATTTAGGGAAGTGGTGTGGATGGGGTGGGTCTGATTTTATGTTTGTTTAAATAGATTTTTAAATTAAAGATGTGAGCTTGGATAAATCTAAGAATTGATATAAGATTAATAATCTCCTTTGACAAGTTCCAAATATCTTTCAATTTCATTATTATTACACACATACACACTACACACTATATATATATACACATATGTATTTTAATTGAGTTTTTATTTTAAAAAATTATATATGAAAATTTTCAAGCATATATGAAAGTAGAGGATATAGTATAATTGCTTTACATATTTCATACCAAACCAAAGCCTTTTTATTTCTGTATTCCATTTCTTTTTAGTAAAACGCAATCCAATTTGTTTAAAGGGAGCTGAGTTTTGAAACAAAGACTTTTGGAAAGCAGACAATTATATTAAAGAATTTCATTTGGCTGGATGTAGTCGCTCACACCTGTAATCCCAGCATTTTGGGAGGCTGAGGCGGGCGAATCACCTGAGGTCAGGCATTTGAGGTCAGTCTGGCCAATATGATGAAACCCCGTCTCTACTAAAAATACAAAAATCAGCAGGACTTGAACGTGTGTGCCTGTAATCCCAGCTTCTAGGAGTCTGAGGCAGGAGAATCACTTGAACTTGGGAAGCGGAGGCTGCAGTGAGCCAAGATCAGGCCACTGCACTCCAGCCTGGGTGACAGATCAAGACTCCGTCTCAAAATAAATAAATAAATAAAACAAATAAAATTTGCAAATAGAGTGTTAGTAATTCCCCAACAGGTGGGATTCATTTGTTTTTAAAGTCAATGTGAAGTCAGTGGGGAGACTTTGCAAACTGGTACAATATGTTTCACAGTGAAAAGCTAAGGTACATTTCTATATTTGGAATCTGAAATGTTAAAATATTTAAAATATTTGACATAAATTTTTAATTTTTTGAAAAAGTTTAAAAGTTATATTCTGACAAAAACAACCATTTCAACATTATGTAGATTTTTAAAATTTAAATTACTAATGAGATTATTTTAGAACAAAGAAATGGAAAATGAAAAGTAGTGACATAATATTGTAATGTTTAATTATTTAAAAAGTTTTAAGTCATTAATAACCACTAATCACTCAGATCCCCAATTAAAAAAAATAAATCCATTAAATATCCAGTGTGATAGAACATAATGCTCATTAAAACACATGCTAATTTAATTATATCTGATGTAATATGTCTGATATAATAAATATCTTAAATATATATATATATATATATATATATATCACACATTGATAACATGAACTATTTTCACCCAAAATAGTTATCCTAGGGAAAGTTTGGCAAACTAGGAAATTGGAAATTATTTAAGTACTCTGACAGTTTAGAGACAAATGAAGTAAGCTTGTATAGAAAGTAATTCATAAAAGTCAGAATCATCTATACAAAGAAAAACATCTAATAATAATGGAAAAGTATGTCCATTTGTGATGAAGCAGTTTGGGATTTTTTTTTTTTTTTTTTTTTTTTTTTTTTTGAGACAGAGTTTCACTCTCGTTGCCCAGACTGGCCAGGCTGGCATGCAGTTGTGAGTTGTGTGATCTCATCTCACTGCAACCTCCCCCTCCTGGGTTCAAGCATTTCTCCTGCCTTGGCCTCTCAAGTAGCTGGGACTACAGGTGTGCGCCACCAAGCCCAGCTAATTTTTGTACTTTTTTAGTAGTGACAGAGTTTCACCATGTTGGTCAGGATGGTATGGATCTCTTGACCTTGTAATCCGCCCGCCTTGGCCTCCCAAAGTAGTGGGATTACAGGCGTGAGCCACCACACCTGGTTATGGGAAATTTTTTTGATGCTGTGTTAGTTCATTCTCAAATGGCTATATAGCTGCAAATGGGTAATTTATAAAGAAGAGTTTTAATTGCCTCACAGTTCTGCTTCTCCTTTAAATATCAGTTCTGACTTTAGGTCATTTCTTTGCTTGTGTATCCCAGTATAGATTGTTAGAAGCAGCTAGGTCACTTTTTTGGGGGTGGGGTGGTGGTGGATGGGACGTAGTTTCGCTCTGTCACCCAGGCTGGAGTGCAGTGGCACAATCTCAGCTCACTTAATCTTCCACCTCCTGGGTTCAAGCAGTTCTCTGTCGCAGCCTCCCAAGTAGTTGGGATTACAGGCTCCTACCACCATGTCTAGCTAATTGTTTTTTTTGTATTTTTAGTACAGACAGGGTTTCACCATCCCGGCCAGGCTGATCTTGAACTCCTGACCTTTTGATCCACCCACTACTTCTTGAATGCTTTGCTACTAGAAATTTCTTCCACCAGATACCCTAAATCACCACATTCAAGTTCAAGTTCCACAGATCCACAGGGCAGGGGCACAATATAGTGTAATTGTTTGCTAAGGCATAACAAAAAATGACCTTTTCTCTAGCCCCCAATAAGTTCCTCATTTCCATCTGAGACCTCCTCAGCTTGTATTTCGTTGTCCGTATCACTATCAACATTTTGGTTACTACCATTTAAAACCAGTCTCTACAAAGTTCCAAACATATCCTCATCTTCCTGTCTTCTGAGCTCACACTGTCTCTTTTGCTCCTGCTTCCACCATGTGAGACACCTGGCTCCCTCTTGCCTTCTACTACAATTGGAAGCTTCCTTATATCTCCCCAGAAGCAGAAGCTGCTATGCTACCTGTACAACCTGCAGAACCATGAGCCAATTAAATATTTTTTCTTTATAAATTTTCCAGTCTCAGGTGTTTCTTTAGAGCAATGCAAGAACAAAGGAATACAAATGCATTCTACATTCATTTTTTTTATTTTTATTTTTTGAACTAAAGGAAGTGATAGAGAAATAGAACATCTGATTCTTGGATAAAAATTGACAATGGGTAAGAGTTTTAATTCTTATTACAGGAGTAGGCAAAATTAGGAAATATGCTTTGAGACTAACATGCCAATGTTCTTTTCGCCTAAGCTTTCTGTCCTCTGTTTCATTAGCGAGATATGAGAATGCCTGCTTCTGCATGAAGAAGGAGCAATCCTATGTATCTGGGCTGTAATGCTGAAGAGGGTCAAGTGGCTCCCTGTCAGTCCGGATAAAGGATATATTATTAAAGAGAAAAACTTGTAACTACCCTAAACTTAAGACAGATTTATTCAGTCAGCTGGGAATTCCAGAGACTCAAGCAGATACCTAAGAGCATGTTTAATTGCTCTAAGTCCCTGATTCCTTATTTCCTAATTTTATATGTATATAATGGTTATCAGTTTTGCAGAACAGTTTTATGGTAACTGACATTCTTGGTTAAGGCTTACTTTCTTACTTCTTTTCCTTTTTGGTGTGATTAGTTAGAAAATGATCTCAATACATGTTCCTATATACATATGGATGTTTAGGCAAAAATAAAATTGGATTCTGTGTTCTGGAAGTTAAGTTAAGTTGACTGTAAACATCGGGTTATTAATATTTTATCATATTAAAACACTAAAATTATCATTGCTATATATGTTTCTTGAGCATCAGCATTTATATACAAATACATATTTTTATTTCTATTTTTGTCTTAGTTATTACATTTCTCCTCTCTTTCAGATTATGCTTAGAGGATTCTGCAGCAATTCTTGATATTGGACATATTCAAAGTCTCCTCAACTTATGTCCTCCCCGTCTATTGCCTTCCAGCTTTAACTCAGTTGTGCTCCCTTCAAACATTTTACATGATTTGCAATGGTTACATGAACTCTGGGGAAGTCATATTTGCAACATCTCATACTTTATTCACTATGGCACTTTAGGAAAAGAAATTGGGGAAAAGCTTCCAAAACATTATCTTAAAAAATGAATCTTATTGTGAAACTTCGGAGAAGTTTTCGAACATTGATTGTTCTCTTAGCTACCTTTTGCTTGGTGAGCATTGTCATTTCTGCCTATTTTCTCTACTCTGGCTACAAACAGGAAATGACACTTATCGAAACCACTGCAGAAGCAGAATGCGCTGACATCAAAATTCTACCATATCGGTCAATGGAGCTGAAAACAGTGAAACCTATTGATACATCCAAAACTGACCCTACTGTCCTTCTCTTTGTGGAGAGCCAATACTCTCAACTTGGTCAAGATATCATAGCTATTTTGGAGTCCAGCCGATTTCAGTACCACATGGTTATTGCCCCTGGAAAGGGAGATATACCTCCTCTTACAGATAATGGCAAAGGGAAATATACTTTAGTTATTTATGAAAATATTCTGAAGTACGTCAGCATGGACTCATGGAATCGAGAGCTTTTAGAAAAATACTGTGTGGAATACAGTGTTAGTATAATCGGTTTTCATAAAGCCAATGAGAACAGCTTACCAAGTACACAATTAAAAGGCTTTCCGTTAAACCTTTTCAATAATCTAGCTCTAAAGGACTGTTTTGTTAACCCTCAATCTCCTTTGCTACATATTACCAAAGCCCCCAAGGTTGAGAAAGGCCCTCTTCCTGGGGAAGACTGGACTATTTTCCAATATAATCATTCAACCTACCAGCCTGTACTTTTAACTGAATTACAGACAGAAAAATCCCTTTCATCCTTGTCTAGCAAAAAACTCTTTGCAACGGTGATTCAGGATCTGGGGCTTCATGATGGAATTCAGCGAGTACTTTTTGGCAACAACTTGAACTTTTGGCTGCACAAGCTCATCTTCATAGATGCCATCTCCTTCTTGTCAGGGAAGAGGCTGACATTGTCCTTGGACAGGTACATCCTTGTGGACATTGATGATATATTTGTTGGGAAAGAGGGAACAAGGATGAATGTCAAAGATGTGAAGGTAAGCATATGTATAAATAACATCGAAATTTGTATTTCACAATGTGGTACTGGTAAAATATTCCAAATATGATAGATTACTAATCACTAAACTTTTAAGATGCAGTAGAGTTGAAATAAAATAGCCATTTAGAAAAATCTTGAACCAAGACTTAACCATTCTTTACATACACATACAACACACACCAGAAGCTTCAGAATGGGACAGAGCTAAAATACCCCAAAGAGTTAGTGAATTTAATCGCCTTGCCTCATTTTTCTTTCTTTCTTCTTTTCTTCTTCTTTTTCTTTCTTTCTTTCTTTTTTTTTTTTTTTTAAGAACAGAGTCTTGCTCTGTCATCTAGGCTGGAATACAGTGATGTGATCTTGGCTCACTGCAACCTCCGCCTCCTGGGTTCAAGCAATTCTCTGCCTCAGCCTCCTGGGTAGCTGGAATTACAGGTGCCTGCCACAGGTCTGGCTAATTTTTGCATTTTAAGTAGAGATGGGGTTTCACCATCTTGGCTATGCTGGTCTTAAACTCCTGACCTCATGATCCACCTGCCTCAACCTCCCAAAGTGCTGGAATTACAGGCATGAGCCACTGTCTGGCCTCCTTGCCTCTTCTTAAGTCTTTCCCATCCACCTAGAACCACTTATAACAGCCTCTCTTATTATAGCACATGTTGCAGTTTGTAACAGTGAGACTAAGATAGCCATATAACTCTATTTATGGATTATTTACCCTGCCAAATCCTGCCAAACTTGGGTTTGAAAATTGTGGTGTAAATAGAATAATGGAGAAACAGCACAAGACCCTTCTACAATCTCAACCAAGCATAATATTTGCTCATATGAAATGTTCAGATATCTGAAAATACAGATATTAGCAAAAACAAATCATTTTATAAGGAATGTGGCATTGGGTTGGCCTCAGGTAGCTTTCATTATTATACCTATATTATTTATTTATTGCATTATTTGGGAAAACACAGCAATGTTACTGATAGCACTTCTAGGTTTTGATCAATTGAGATTGAATAACAGATTCAGCCTGGGATTGCTACTAAATAAAAATAAATCCACTATTCTACACAAGATTAGGTGCACAATTCTGAAGATAATCATCTTTTAAACAATCTTGATGCAGTACTCTCACCTGATCTTTTACTTGTGACTATCTCATCCTACGTACAACTAAATTTATTTTGTGTGTAAATAATTTTAGCAAACACATAAACAAAAATTAGAGGACACAATTGAGAATAATAAAGGAATCAAAGAGTGTTAAGGTGTTATTGACTTTTTTGGATCTTCTGTTAAAGTGTTTATCTTCCAAAGATAAAATTTGGATACTTCTTCAAAATAACAGGGCATTGTTTTCATCATAAGACCTGATGGCCACTGTAAAGCAAAATGATTGAAAGCAGTAGAATAAGTTTACTTTTTAAAAACCTTCAAAGTTTATGTGAACCAATGAACTCTGTTTTTCCTAAGTTCCTATGAAGCGCTGCTTGACTGTGACCCAAATATTTTATTTCAAGACTGTTAAGAAAAGATAAAGTGACGACAATTGAGTTCCATCCAGATTTTTCTCATTTTTTCTTTTACATTTTTAGTATGTATTATTCTCTTTAATTAGTATAAATGATAGTGTTCTTTTAATTTTGAAACCATAGGCTTAACAAGAGGCCAGTTACTTCAAAAGGTTCTCTGAGTGGTTGGTTCCTTTCTTCACACCCTGGAAATATAGCATTTCCAAGTTTCAGGCTAAAGAACAATATGAATTAAAAAGTTCTTTACAAGTCTAAATGAATTTAACCAGCTCAAATTCAGCTATTTCACTTTTTTCTCAAATAGAAAAACAAATTGTTACTCACTGCTGCTCAAAATAATATTCAAAAGTCGCTGATGGCTATCTCAACTGACATAACCCCAAACAGAATAAAATAATATTGAAATATAACAAAGGCTTGAGCAGTGTCACATATGGAGAGAGAATCAGAAAGGCTATGTGTGTGTGTATATATTTATTAGTGTGTGTTCTTATGGATAGAATTATATCCTGTATATGAAGTAATGTATAATATTTATGTATGTACACATATTAACTGAACTGTGTTTTTGAAGAAAATACTCTTTACTGCCTTTTTTGTTGTTATTTCTGGTTCTCCCTCAGAATTATTTTTATTTTTACTTTTTTATTGACAAAAACAATATATATTTTTCATGTACAACATGATGTTTTGAAATATGTGTAAATCATGAAATGTTTAGATACAGCAAAATGACATAGGAATTAATTATCCCAGATACTTACCATTTTTTGGTGAAACCACTTAAAATCCACTCTTCTAGTAATTTTCAAGAATATGATACATTGTTACTACTAGAATCTACTATAGGTTTCTTCAACTTATTCTTCCAATCAACATGAAATTTTGTGTATTTTAACCAAAATCTCTCCAACCTCCTCACTCTCAACCTCTGGGAACTACCATTTTACTCTCTGCTTCTTTGAGTTTAATTTTTTTAGACTCCACAAAAAGGTGAGATTATGTATTTATTTTGCTCTGCCTTGCTTATTTCAATTAACATAATGTCCTCTAGGTCATCCATGTTGTCACAGATTACAGGATTTTCTTCTTTTTGAAGTCTGAATAATATTTCATTGTGTATATGTATCTCATTTTCTTTACTCATGTATCCACTGATAGACACTCAGGCTGATTCTATATCTTAAATATTGTAAATAATGCTTAAATGAGCAAGGAAGTACAGATATCTCCTTGATAAGTTGAATTCATTTCCTTTGGATATATACTCAGTAGTAGGATTGCTAGATCATATGGTAGTTCCATTTTTAATTTTTTGAAGAATCTGCATGTTGTTTTCCATAGTGGCTATACTAATTATATTTCCACCCGTGTATATGAGGGTTCCCCCTTCTCCACATCCCTGCCAACACTTGTTACTGTTTGTCCTTTTGATAACAGCCATTCTAACAGGTATGATGTGATATCTCATTATGGTTTTGACATGCATTTCCCTGATGATTAGCGATGTTGAGTATTTTTATAAGCCTATTGGTCATTTATGTTTTCTTTTGATAAATGTTTATTCAGGCCTTTTGCTCATTTTTTAGGTGAGTTATTTGTTTTCTTACTATTGAGGTACTTGAATTTGATATGTTCTTTAGCTATTACCTCTTATCAGATGTATAGTTTGCAATTTTTTCTCGCATTTCCTATGTTGTCTCTTCGCTCTGTTGCTTCCATTGCTGTATAGAAGCTTTTTTGTTTGATGTAATTCCATTTGTTTATTTTTAGTTTTGTTACTTGTGCTTTTGGGGTCATATCTAAAAAAATCTTGCCCAGAACAACGTCATAGAGGTTTCCTCTATGGTTTCTTTTAGTCATTTTATGGGTTTAGGTCCTACAATTAAGTCTTTCATCTATTTTAAGTTGATTTTTTAATATAGTGTGAGATGAAGCTCTAATTTCATTCTTCTGCATATAGATATCCGGTTTTCCAAACACTATTTATTGAAGAGACTGCCCTTTCCCTATTATCTGTTCTTAGAAACTTTGCTGAAAATCTATTAACTGTAAATGCAAGAATTTATTTCTGTGCTCACCATTTTATTCCATTGGACTGTGTGCCTGTTTTTATGCTAGTATCATGCTGTTGTGATTACTATAGCTTTGTAGTATATTTTGAAGTATATTTGTTTTCCTCGAGATTGCTTTGGTTATTTGGATCTTTTGTAGTTTTATATACATTTTAATATCTTTTAAATTTTTTTTTTCTATTTTTGTGAAAAATGTCCTTGGGATTTTGATAGGAATTGTTTTGAATCTGTAGATCATTTTGGATATCATAGACATTCAACAATAATAATTTTTCTACCTTACTAGTGGGGATAAGCTTTCCATTTATTGGTGCCTTCTTCAAGTCCTTCAAGCATATTTTGTATGCTTTTCTCTTGCTGCTTTCAAGATCCTTTGTCTTTGATTGTTTACTGTTTGACTATACCATGTCTTGGTGTAGTGTTGTTTGGCCTTCCTCTGCCTGAATATTTGTGTTTTTCCTTGGGTTTGAGCAGTTTTCTTCTATTATTTTATTAAATAAGCTTTCTGGATTTTTATCTGTGTTTTTCTTAATTTGAATATTTCCCTCAGACCTATTAATGAATAAATATGAGAAATTTGATTGGAATTGAGAATTGAAAACTATTTACGTACTAGGTTACTTATATGTCCAAAGAAAAAATGTTCTAGTCACAGTTTTTGCTTTTCGACTTTATTTTTTGGATAAATACAGTTTTGTGGGAAATAATTTCAATTATGTGTCAAAAAGTTTTGATAGTCTCATATTCTTCACTCTCATGTTTTTTTTTTTTTTTTTTTTTTTTTCTTTTTCTGGTAGTACAACAGTAATACACTAGTGCACAAAGAGAATTTTATTCTCCTTCAAACTCTACCCCAATTCTAGAACAATGGTGCTGCACAGTTACTGACAATTTTCTATATTACTCCAAAATAGTATAAAAGAGGCATTCAGTTGGTATTTTAATAGGTATTTCATACATATTTCAATTTGCATGAAATACCTATTTGAATTTGAAATTCAAATGTCATCCCTATTTCAAGGTATGAAAGAGGTATTCTGTTCCTCAATAAAACAAATTAAGGAAAGCAGGAGTGTTACGGATAAAAAATCTTGGTTATGTTTGTAATTGGACTCTTCTTCATCCACTCCCACAATTAGACTGGAATAGCAAGAGCATTAACAAATTCAGACATAGCCTTATCCTCAGCACCACCTCACTCTATCAATGTGTGTGTGTGTGTGTGTGTGTGTGTCTGGGTGAGTGTGTGTGTGTGTGTTTGTGAAGGCATATTTTCATCTGAGCCCAATTTTCTCTTTTGAGATAGAGATTCTGAATTATACTGTTAAAGAGTAAGTACTTTTAAGGCAAAGAATTTTAATGCATTGAAAAGAATACTAGTTTTTATTTTA